TTTTTTTTTTTTTTTTTTTTTTTGAGAGGGAGTCACGCTTTGTCACCCAGGAGATTAGAGTGCAGTGGCATGATCTTGGCTCACTGCAATCTCTGCCTCCCAGGTTCAAGTGATTCTCCTGGCTCCACCTTTCAAGTAGCTGGGACTACAGATACTCACCACCATGCCTGGCTAATTTTTGTATTTTCAGTAGAGACATGGTTTCACCGTGTTTCCCAGGCTAGTCTTGAACTCCTGACCCCAAGTGATCCACCTACCTCGGCCTCCCAAAATGCTGGGATTATAGGCACAAGCCACCACACCTGGCCCCCCTCTGTAATACTTTTTCTTGCTGTCTGCAAGCAGGGATATGCTTAAGGTTCTATTCTGCAAACTGTACAGTTACATGATTGGCCAAAACGAGCAGCTACCAACCAACAATTGACTGAGTGTTGCAAGTTCATTTAAACAGAAATTGTATGACTTATACATGTGCATATTTGCCCATTGCCCAGCGCATGGTAGGTGCTCAGGATGTATTTTCCAGTGCTAACTCAGTTTCGGTATAGCCACAAATGGAGAAAGATAGAATAAAAAGAATTGACACCCAAATACAAAAATACCAGCCACCTATGGATCTTCCTTTTGCAATCTGTAAAGCTTTTGAGCTTTAACTCATGTTACCTGACAATTTTACATATTTGTCAATACTCCTGGAGTCCAAGAATATATTGTATTTCTTTCTGCCAGTGTTTGCTTAGAGGCCCAATTCAATAATAGTATATTTTAGAAGCAACTGATTGTTATTGAGGGTTTGTATACATGACAAAACCCCTTGGACTATTATAGAGAAAGCTAAAGCCAGGATGCCTTAGATATGCAGAAAATTGCTTGAATTAAAAAGCAAGCCATTTTAATAAAAGAAATAAGCTCTTTTTGGAGCTGATACCTGTAGAAAAGTTTGCATATGAAGGCCAAAAGCATAACCAAACACATGTCGATTTGTAAGCCATTTATTTATCTTTGGAAGTAATAATAGAAACCATGTATGGGCTGGGCTCTAATCCTGTTGCTTGCTTTGTAGAATGTCCAGATGGCCTAGCTTTAGCCTTTGCCTACATTTCCTGCTGATCCTGGGAGAAGGGAAATGTGCCTCCCGCCTGTACAAATAAAATCGACACCATCTTTTCTTTCTATTCCATCGTGTAGGGAGTAGAGTGTTTTGCACAGATGCCACAATATCACTTTGTCTAGCAAACAGAAGAGTATGTCCAGAACGGGTGAGAGGCTGCATTCTTCCTCCCACTGAAAGTTTTTCCTGTGACTGCCCGAATGAAGCTGCCTTCACAAGATCAACCCAGAAAGGAGCTTGCCTCCTTGTGGTATTTGAAAGGCACATGCAGGCTTCATAAGAATGTGCAGAAGGGGTATTTCTTGGGTTTTCTTGGACTTAGGTGTAAAATGAGAAAATATTTGCCATCTTTCCTGATGGTGGGCAACCCACAATATAAATAGAAGCCCAGGCCGGTCACCATGGCTCATGTCTGTAATCCCAGCACTTTGGGAGGCTGAGGCAGGCAGATCACTTGAGGTCAGGAGTTTGAGACCAGCCTGGCCAAAATGGTGAAACCCTGTATCTACTAAAAACACAAAAATTAGCCGGGCTCTCTCTGAAGGTACTAAAAGCCATTACAGGTGGTACACACCTATAATCCCAGTTACCTGAGAGGCTGAGGAAGGAGAATCACTTGAACCCAGGAGGCGGTGTTTGCAGTGAGCCAAGATCTTGCCACTGCACTCCAGGCTGGGCAACAGTATAAGACTCTGTCTCGCCGGGCGCAGTGGCTCAAGCCTGTAATCCCAGCACTTTGGGAGGCCGAGGCGGGTGGATCACGAGGTCAAGAGATTGAGACCATCCTGGTCAACACGGTGAAACCCCGTCTCTACTAAAGCTACAAAAAATTAGCTGGGCATGGTGGCGCGTGCCTGTAATCCCAGCTGCTCAGGAGGCTGAGGCAGGAGAATTGCCTGAACCCAGGAGGCGGAGGTTGCGGTGAGCCGAGATTGCGCCATTGCACTCCAGCCTGGGTAACAAGAGCGAAACTCCATCTCAAAAAAAAAAAAAAAGACTCTGTCTCAAAAAACAAAACAATCCAGGTATAACCTTAAGAAAAAAAAATAATAATAAAACAAAACGATAAACACAAGCCGGTATTATAAATGCTATGAAAAACAAATTCCCTCTTAGTTTAAAATGTTTTCTCTCATTTTCCTAAAGTCACTTATTTGAAACAAAAGAAATAAAATGTTTTCTCTGTTGTACACTTTGAAATGGTAAATTTTATGTGTATTTTACCATAATAAAAATTTTCTTCCTGGCTGGCCCGATGGTAGTGTGTTATCAGAACTTACTAACATTAGCGTCACTAAAGTTGGTATACAATTCCTCACTGCTAAATTTGACTGGCTTTAAAAAAAAAAAAAATCCTTTCTTTTTTTTTTTTTTTTTGAGATGGAGTTTTGCTCTTGTTACCCAGGCTGGAATGCAGTGGTGAGATCTTGCCTCACTGCAACCTCCGCCTCCTGGGTTCAAGTGATTCTCCTGTTTCAGCCACCCAAGTAGCTGGGATTATAGGCGTCCACCACCACTTCCGGCTAATTTTTGTATTTTGTAGAGATGGGGTTTCACCATGTTGGCCAGGCTGGTCTGGAGCTCCTGACCTCAGGTGATCCACCTGCCTTAGCCTCCCAATATGCTGGGATTACAGGCATAAGCCACCATGCCTGGCCTAAAAAAATTTTTTTTCTAGCTATTTTCTCCCCTGCTGAATACCTGTGTAACCTGAAAGGCGAATCCTTGTTTTTTTTTTTTTTTTTTTGAGATGGAGTCTCACTTTGTTGCCCTGGCTTGAGTGTAGTGGCGTGTGATCTTGGCTCACCACAACCTCTGCCTCCAGGTTCAAGTGATTCTCCTGCCTCAGCCTCCTGAATAGCTGAGATTACAGGCACCTGCCGCCATTCTCGGCTATTTTTGTATTTTTTAGTACAGACAGGGTTTTACCATCTTGGCCAGATTGGTCTTGAACTCCTGAACTTGTGATCCACCCATCGTGGCCTCCCAAAGTGCTGGGATTACAGGTGTGAGCCACCGTGCCCAGCCACAAATTCTTATAAGATCTTGTTTCTCAGAGTGACTCTCGGGTAGACTGGTGATACCAAAGTTTAGGTGGCAACTTACTTTCTCCATTTTTTGAAAACTGAAAACATTAGGGGAAGCAATTCCATTATTTCTGAGATAAATGAAAACGTATGTCCATATAAACACTTGTACACCAGTGTTCATAGTGGCCAAAGAGAAGAAACCCAAACCTCCACCAACTGATGAATAGATAATAAAATGTGGTATATCCATACAGTGGAATATTGTTTGTCCATAAAAAAGGAATGAAGTGCTGATGTATGCTACAACATCAGTGAACCTTGAAAAATTATGCTAAGTTAAAGAAGGCAGTCACAAAAGGTTTAATATCATATGAGCCCATTTATATGAAATATCCAGAAGAGATAAATCTATAGAGTCAAAAATTAGATTGGTGGTTGCCTAGGGCCAAGAGGCAGGGAGAGAAGAATTGGGGGATCAGGGAATGATGGCTAAGAGGTTTGGGGCTTCTTTTTGGGGGTAATGAAGATATTCTAAGATGGATTGTGGTGACAGTTGTACAACTCTGTGAAGATACTAAAGGCCATCCTAAAAATGGGCAAATTGTATGGTATGTGAACTTCTGTGCATTTCCCAAAATCTTACCATGCAGGGAATGAGCATGTTGGATTTTTAACAACACTGTCTTTTCCAGGGTGCGAAGTACCACATTACTGTCCTCTCCCTGTGAGTGGGACTGGCACCCCAGCTGCAGCTCCAGGCGAAAGTACTCCAGGAAGCACAGAGCTGTGCCAGTACACAGCCCACGTTGCCAGGTATTTGCTTACTTTCTCTCTCATCAGCCTAGTCACTGGTCTTCCCTAAAATCTGTTGTAAGAGTTACCATTTTCACATCCTAGAGGTAGTCAGAGTTACCATTTTCGATGTTAGTGATCTATACATTTTCATAGAAAATTTAATGGTAATTTCCAAAGTACCAAAGAACATAAACATCGTACCTGCACTAATGGACTGAATTGATAGGTATAACTTTGCTGTGGTTGGTGAATGCTTATTGAGGATGACCTTCCTGGCATGTAAGTACAACTTCTGTGGTTCAAAATAAATGTCTAAATTGGCATTTGGTGCTGATGATGCCTGGGATTGGAGGTCATTTTAATAGGTTATTTTTTTTTCCATTATCATTGAGGTAGTAAAATTATATAACAGTGGTAAGCACTTTGCTGAAATGATAACGGACATCAGTCATGCTGGGTTGTAAAGATTAATTATGTCCAAGCTTTTAGTGCAAGAGCTAGGAGCCAGTATTATCTATTTACTGATTCACTTTTAAGAATGAATTAAATGAGATTTACAAGGTCTTAAATTTTGACAGATGTGGGATGCATTTGTTTTTTGTTACACTTTGACCTCTGTTTATAGGCCAGTCCATGGCTGGTTGGAATGGGGTTGGAATTTTTTTCATGTGCTTGTTTTGTACTTCCTGTCTGTTGAAGCTGGTAGCCCCTACCTGGCAGGATTCCAGATACATGTGCAAACTGGAGTTTAGCGGCATGTGAATGGCACATTCCAGAAGGGCAGATAGTCGTTCAGATCCTAGTTCTGCTGCCTTCTAATTGTGTGGTCTTGGGCACATGTCTTAATGCTTCTGAGCCTCGGATTCTTCATCTTTAAAAAGGGAATGTCAACATGAAACTAAATGAGTTAATGGGCCCAGTAAGTACCAGGCCCGTGCTAAAGCCTTTCTCAGTGTCTGGTTGTCCAAATGAGGACATTCAAGTGGAGAAAGTCCTCATTTTCCACTGAATTAACAGGGCTGGATGCAGGTTTTGTTTACTGAAATGGTTTCTATGGAGCTCTTAAAGGTCCTGGCCAGGCAAGGTGGTTCACACCTATAATTCCAGTGCTTTGGAAAGTAGAGGTGGGAGGATTGCTTGAGGCCAGGAGTTTGAAACCAGCCTGGGCAACATAGTGAGACCCTGTCTCTGTTTAAAAAATAATAATAATAACCCGCTGGGCATGGTGGTGTGCTCCTGTAGTCCTAGCTACATGAGAAGCTGAGTGGGAGAATCGCTTGAGCCCAGGAATTTGAGGCTGTGGGGAGCTAAAGGTGCACCACTGCACTCCAGCCTGGGCAGCGGATTGAGACTTTGTCTCAGCAACAAAAAAAGTCCCAAACATGAGAAGACAGATGCCTGCTCAGACTCCAGAAATGGTTTTCCTTGGCTGGGTGCAGTGCCTCACACCTGTAATTCCAGCAATTTGGGAGGCCAAGGTGGACAGATGGCTTGAGCCCAAGAGTTTGAGACCAGCCTGGGCAACATGGCGAAACCCCATCTCTGCAAAATATAAAAAAAAAATCAGCCAGGTGTGGTGGTGCAGTAATACCAGCTACTTGGGAAGCTGAGGCACGAGAATCACTTGAATCCAGGAGGTGGAGTTTGCAGTGAGCTGAGATTGTGCCACTGCACTCCAGCCTTGCGATAGAGAGACTGCCTCAAAAACAGAAAAAAAAAAAAAAAGTTGGTGTCCTAAAATTCTTACTGAATTTCTAGATAGGAACTGTTGATTATTCAAATAAATTAGAGGGTTGCTGTGGAGTATGGCAAAGAGAGATTGGAGCTAGCATTGTCTGTTGGAGGAAAGGCTCTTTCTGACTCTAGCTAGCCCCTCCTGATACATACCTCCCTTGTTCTAGTTCCCTGTACCCGCACTACCTTTCCAACATCAATTTGATTGCCTGAGTCAATGCCTTGCTTCAGAGTTCTTTCATGTGTAAACACAAGCTTGGCTTTCTGGGACGAATTAGCCTTAGGCGAGCTTGAGTGAAGAGGATTTTCCCCAGGCATCCCACATGCCCTAGTTTCAGATCCAGCAAACATTCATTACGGGCTTTTTATTTGCCAGGCAAGGGGCAAGGTGCTTTCACTGACATTGTTCCTCTCACAACTGCAAGAGGAAGGTATTATTAGCTCCCTTTTGCAAATAAAGAACCTGAGATTCAAAGATTTTAAATGGTTTCTAATCAGCAGCCTCTACCCATTCTGCCTACTCTATCATTCTGGAGAGCACTATTTGCCTGGGGCTGGATTTTTGCTACTTTAAGGGGCTTTGATTATCACCTTTCTGACTTGGCAAAATCATCTTTGCCTTCAGAAATAATGCTAAGACTTTAGGGGGAGGATTGCTTAAAACCAGGAGTTCAAGATCTGCCTGGGCAATATAGCAAGACCTTGCCTCTATTAAAAAAAAAAAAAAAAAAGAAGAAGAAGAAGGCAAGGCCTGGCGATTCACACCTATAATCATAGCACTTTGGGAGGCCGAGGCAGGAGAATCCCTTGAACCCAGGAGTTCAAGACCAACCTGGGCTATATAAGGAGACGCTGTCTCAATCTTTTTCAATTTTAAAATTATGTAAAAAGTTAATAATGAATAAAAAGAAAAAGAAAAGATGATAGTAGTCTGGTGAAGAGCTTCATTTCTCAGCTATGGAATCTCGTTAGGTAATTTAGATACCTTGAAGTTATCACTGACTCACCCCATCATATAGGCTTAGAAAAGTGAGTTGAGGCCGGGTGTGGTGGCTCACACCTGTAATCCTAGCACTTTGGGAGGCTGAGGCGGGTGGATCACCTGAGGTCAGGAGTTTGAGACCAGTCTGGCCAACATAGTGAAACTGTCTCAACTAAAAATACAAAAATTAGCCTGGCGTCGTGGCAGGTGCCTGTAATCCCAGCTACTCCAGAAGCTGAGGCAGGAGAATTGCTTGCACCGGGCGGCAGAGGTTGCAGTGAGCCCAGCTCGCACCACTGCACTCCAGCCTGGGCGATAGAGTAAGGCTTCATCTCAAAAAAAAAAAAGTGAAACTCCATCTCAGAAAAAAAAAAGTGAGTTGAAGGTGAAAGCTCAAAACTTTTACTTCTATGCACCTGGGAGCCCCTCTATAGCTTCTTTCCCTCTTTCCTAGGGGCTCCTCGGTTTACAGGAATTCTAGGGGAATCACTTTAGCAGCCAAACTTCCATACTCAGATGGATAGACCTAGAGCTGCAGTACATCGGTACCAGCTGGAGGGGGTGTTAAAACATGGATTCCTGGGCCCTACCCCCAGGGTTTCTGCTTCAGGCAGTCTGGGATGAGGCCCAGGAATTTGCATGTCTGGTTTCCAGACCAGACTTTGAGAGAGTAGTTTTAATGGCCAGTTTAGAGCATGAGCTTGTTTACAGATGGTGTGTGTGGCCACTTACTCTGTGGTGAAGGGCTCCTTTCCTCAAATATTTAATGAGCATCTCACACTACACTGCTGAGAAAAATTTAGAGGAATATTAACCTCTTCCCTGGTAGACTTTGGAGCCTAATTTGGAATCAGTAAATTGCATTGCTGTGTGTGAAGTACTGGCCTCACCCCGTTAAGTGGATATGGCAGAAGGCCTGAAGTAGTGACTAAGTCAGGACAGGCTTCCTGGGGCAGGTGATATTTGAAAGGAAACCTGAGAATAAAAAGTTATTAGCTGTGTGAGCATATGGGGAAGAGAAACTCAGGAAGCAGAGCCTGTACCGTAAAGGGTCTGGAGACGCTGCATTAGGTGAGAAGAAAAGGTTTGTATTGTCCTGAGAATTCCACTGGGACTCCGATACGTAAACCAAAAAGTATCAAAAACAAGTCTCAATCAACTTAGAGAGTTTGGCCAGGCAGGGTGGCTCACGCCTGTAATCCTAGCACTTTGGGAGGCCGAGGCCGGTGGATTGCCTGAGGCCAGGAGTTTGAGACCAGCTTGGCCAACATGGTGAAACCCCATCTCGACTAAAATACAAAAGTTAGGCCAGGCGCAGTGGCTCATGCCTGTAATCTCAGCACTTTGGGAGGTTGAGGCGGGCAGATCACCTGAGGTTGGGAGTTCGAGACGAGCCTGACCAATATGGAGAAACCCATCCCTACTGAAAATACAACATTAGCCAGGTGTGGTGGCACATGCCTGTAATCCCAGCTACTAGGGAGGCTGAGGCAGGAGAATCGCTTGAACCTGGGAGGCGGAGGAGGTAGCAGTGAGCTGAGATAGTGCCATTGCACTCTAGCCTGAGCAACAAGAGTGAAACTCTGTCTCAAAAAAAAAAAAAAAAAAAAAAAAAATTAGCTGGGTGTAGTGGTGTATACCTGTAATGCAGCTTCTTGGGAGGCTGAGGCACCAGAATTGCTTGAACCTGGGAGGCAGAGGTTGCGGTGAGCCGAGATTGCCACCGGACTCCAGCCTGGGTGATAGAGCGAGACTCCATCTAAAAAAAAAATTTAGAAAGTTTAATTTGCCAAGGTTACAGGATATGCCCAACATGGCATGATAACATGTGCCCAATGTGGTAAGAGTATAGCTTGCTTTTATACATTTTAGGGAGGTGTAATACATCAGTCAATACATGTAAGATTTACTATGTTGGTTCCATCTGGCAGAACAGGACAACTCCAAAGGGGTGGAGAGGCTGCCAGGTCATAGGTACTCTACTCTAGTGGTACTTAAGGGCTGCCAGGTCATAGGTACTGCCACTTTAAAACCTCCAAGTAGCAGGTGTTAGAGAATAAACAGTAAATGTTTCTTATCAGACTTAAGGTCTGTGTTGGTGTTAATATTGGAGGGATATAATGAGGCATGTCCAACCCTCACTTCCCCTTATGGCCCGAACCAGTCTTTCAGGTTAAATTTTAGGGTGCCCTCGCTGAGCAGAAAGTCCATTCAGATGGTTGCAGAGGGCCTTCAAATTTTATTTTTGGTTTATAGATATGAAATGAAGATGCAACTGTATGGTGATAGTGATGACATGTGG